TATGGGAGCACAGCTCGTAGGGACAAAGCTCCTTCCCCCCTTGACAGGTCATAAAAATCAGTTAGAGGAACCCAGAGCGAGCCCCCCTCCCCACCTCCAACTTCAGCAGCACAGGAAAGGACTGAGGGCAGCAGTTCACGGAAGCACCTGAGGTTGCCCTGTCTCTATAGACTGCACACTGACAAGCAAGAGGCAGGTTAGAGCACAGGAACATCGCTGCTCAAGCTACACATGCCCGTTGACAGCATAAATTAATTTGGTCAGTTAAAAGCAAGTACAATTGTTATCATTCATTCATTTGATTCTCAGGCTCTTTGTGGAACTAAGTCTGTTTTGCGATTTTGAGTGTTTCTGGACGACTGGCTCAGGATTTAGTGAAGGTGTACGGCAGGGCGTAGAGATGTGATGTCAGGTTCTTGCTGCCTACCCTTACCAGGAATCAGGCAGGCTGCCCAGCTGTGAGGCCGGAGTAGTCCTCTGGGTGGGGTACCAACTCAGGAAGTGATTCCACCCCGTGCTGATATCATAGCTCTCTGTGGGTCTTTGTTACTAGGCATGAACAGAAGTAAATGCGTAGTGGGGTGTATACGAGCGTCAGTGGAAATACTGAGTCAGCCATTTACTTCTGGAGTTATTTCAATGCCAGCGATGAGCTAATTAAAATTCTTACCTTCTACCGACATCCTAACATGAGTTGCTGCTCAAATGAGGGGCAAGAATCAGGAGAAGGAATTGAAGGTAAATAGCACAGAGTAAGTGGATCAAACAAGGGAATCCTGTATATGCTGCTGTCCAGATGTGTAGGAAGCTGCAGGATTGGGGAAGGTAGCTAACAGCAAGCCACTCTGTTTGTGCTCCTCTATGCAGACTATAACAGCAGCGACCAGAAGACGGCCTGCAAAAAGCACGAGCTTTATGTCAGCTTCCGGGAGCTTGGGTGGCAGGTAAGGGGGTATTGGTGCCTTGGGGAGGAGTCACATCCCAAATGAAACCTGATGTACCTGGCAATGGCCATAATGTGTCAGAGGCGGGAGGGCAGCTCATTCTGTGCCATTTTGACCGATGTGGTACATATTTAGGACGCTGAACCTGTATGTTAACTATGACTCTCTGTGTATAATTTAATTCTGGGAATCGTTTTCCAATCAAAAGCGGGATGTAGCAATATCATGGGTCCTGTTTGGACTCTTCAGTGTGCCGGCCCTGAGGCCACTCCTGCGAGTATGCCATCACTAGTTAGCGAAGGGAAAGAATGTTACTGTTTCCTGTAAGCAATTACATTGTAATAAGACAGCACTGACATCTAGAGGAGGACTGCCAACACAGATGCACTGTGATGGTGAGAATTATGCTCATTAAGCAACCCTGCTTACCACAAAGTTTATAAAGCAGTTTTGCAATTTCTGCAGTGATCCATTCTCTGGGACAGCTGGTGTTCAGTCTTGTTGAACTACCCAAACAGTATGAGGCCCCTTGGAAGACGAAGAAGGTCCCGGAAGGGTCTCTCAGGCGCATAACAGCAAATGTTGACTCAGTCTGACCTCTTTTGGATTTGAGAGGTCCCCCATGTGGGTCTTGAAGTCTTTAATGAAAGGAGACAAGCACAATATGCTTTAACAGGGAGTTTAGGAGGGTGGGGGGTGGTGTAAGCAGGGCCTTCCTGGCCACAGTTGAACTCGCTGTGCCATTGTGGCCGCTAGGGGAGGTGGCGGATTTCTGTAACAGCCATCATCCTTGTCATCGGTGCTACTGGCTGCACTTTGCAGGAGCATGACTCAGTGGGGAAGACTGCTGCTCGGGGCCTGCCAGGATCAGGAAAAACACTGTTTATAATGGATCCTGGGAATGTGGAATGCAAAGGGGTTGCCGCTTGCAGGTGCAGGACAGTTGTTTTTCCTGATTACAGCAACTTATTAATGGAGATGCGGTGTGGAGAGTAGCTGCTGGTGGCTCATGGGATGAACATGTCAGGCTGGCGGCAACTGCCGAGTGAACCCAAGTCAGCCCAGATCGCTGCTTCTGTCTCATTTTTCATTAGGATTGGATCATTGCTCCTGAGGGCTATGCTGCCAACTACTGCGATGGAGAGTGCTCGTTCCCTCTCAACGCCCACATGAATGCCACCAACCATGCCATCGTCCAGACGCTGGTGAGAGGCTCGTCCCATTCTTTCATCTGTTTGTACAGCTGAATATTATCGCTTGGATAAAATGATGGTTTTCCTCCAGAGGTTTCCACCAGTTGCGTTATGGCCATAGGCTTGACTTCAGCGCTATATTTCCTATCCTGTTTAACGTCGGCATCCGTCTGCTGTGAATCATGTGCCATTAAAGGGACTGGTTTCTGAGCATTTTAATGTGCTCTGTGAATTCTGCCACATCTGTCTTCACTTCGGATACAGGTTACCGTTGTCCATTTCGCAGCTCACAAAGTACCTGACAGAAGTGGTCTGCTATGTCAATGACGTATTAACAGCTTTAAGGTTAAGGATGATGTGTTGAAAGCCAACATGCGATACAACTGAAACATACAATAACATTGATTGGTATCTCGTAGGTTCACCTGATGAACCCGGAGAACGTTCCCAAGCCCTGCTGTGCACCCACGAAGCTGAACGCTATCTCGGTGCTCTACTTTGACGACAACTCCAATGTCATTCTAAAGAAGTACAAGAATATGGTGGTGCGAGCCTGTGGCTGCCACTGATATCTAGGGGGCGCTCTCCCTTCACAACGAAAGACTGAGAAGTGAAAACTGCTGCTTTTTGACAGAGGGACTCATGGTAGACCTTCAACTCTGGAGACCATAAGGAGATGAGCCAGATGCCATCTCCAAACTGAGGACAAAGCATGGTGTAGGCGAATGTAGTCAGATGTCACTGAAACTACTTGCGTGGGAAGAGCATGAACCTGGTTACACTCCACTCTATAGAGAAATGTATATGACTAATCAAAGCTTGATCTTAACATATGGGCATCGGTTGACATTGATTTCAAAGAAGCAGCATAAGCAGATGTACAATCCTGAAGCATCCAATCAGATCAACTCTGAGCCAGCTTCAAAATAGAGGAAACTGCTAATTCAGTCAAACAAATCTCTGTAATAAGATGAAATAATGAAATATTTACTATTTAACTTTGAAACTTGAGTTTCCAAAGTAATTCTGCAGTTTAACATCGGACCTTTTTCTACGGCCAGCTGTCAGGTACCATTCTAAACATAAAAAAACTAATCAAGCTGCATAAACAAATGTTTTTAGGCATTTTAAGAGACGTTACATCCTTTTTGTCAAAACCATTGGTCAGCTATATATAAATATATAAAGAAAATACCTCTAAGCTGTTTACATTACTGAATCTTGTTTAAATTCTACATGTAAATACTTGTATATTGTTCATCTTATTTATTGCACCTCATTAAATCATGTCACCTTATGGAAAATAAGCAACACTATTTTGGAAAAGAAATTTTATTATGAAAATTCAGAATTTCATGTTAACAACTTGCTATTATTTGGTTGTCATTATTTCCAGCTGGAGGAGCTGAATTTCCTCACCGAGTGTTCGCACCGCACGTCGCCTATGAACATCCCTCACAGAGCATGTTCTGTCTGCACGCCTGCATTCACCATGGAGTGTAAAGTCACCAGTCACACTGAAACGCTATGCAGTATCCCTCACAGAACACTGGGTGCAAAAGTGAGCTGGCAGTGGGTGGGAAAAGAGGTAGATAAGGGGGGAAGATTTTGGTGGTGGTGGTGGGGGGGGGGGGTAGAAATAGCAGGACCCAAGAGCAGAAATCATCAGCTGGCTGCCAGTCATATTTAAACCGCATCAAACGACACACTGACTTAACTGTGGGGGTGATGAACTGCTTGAAAACTAGTGTCCAGCCCGAGAACTGGCCGGTCCCACAGCAGCTCTGGAAGTAAAATAAGTCAGGCTGGTGTCCCAGGTGAGCCCAGCATCACATTTCAGTGCTGCATCTTCATCGAACAGAAACCAGGCTTAAGCAGGGGCTCATGAACAGCTCCCCAACAGGGATCGCGGAATAGGCCATGATGTCCCAGAAGGACCTGGCCGACGTGCGAACGGGGCTGCAGGCAACAGGTGAGACAGTAGAGCGCAGGACCCCGCCGTCCTGATACACGTGTCCCTGAGAGTCGTCAGGCCAGTGGCCAGGATCAAAGTGTTATAGCACTCAAAACATCTCCATCCTCACAACAAACAAAGGGGTGAAGGGGGAGGGAAAAAAAAAAAAACAGTACGGATGAGATGGGACTCAGAGTTCAGTCCTGATCAAGGCACATCCACAGCCACGCTGGGGCAGTTTCACGTGGGGTAAACCTGCAATCCAGGCTGAGAGGTCCAAACAGACATGAGGGAAATGTGATTAAACTACAAAAGGTGGGGGGTAAGCTAAATAAAACAGAATACATTTACAATTCAGAAGTGTGTGAATCACCAAATCATACTGGTATTTCCCCCCCCCGTACCCCTACAAAGCCCCGTTTCTTAGTGGGGAAGGATAAAGGAATATAAAAATCAAGATGGTGCCTTGTACTGCGGGCATTTCAGGTTGGGGGGCTAGAGCTCGTCCCGGGCCTGCTTCATCACAAAGCTGTGCAGGCTCTCTAGGTCACGCCCACCGCTGTGCTCTGCCCCCTGCTGGCCACCCCGGAACATTATCAGCGTGGGGTACCCGTGCACCTGGGGAGTTGAAACATGGTCAGCCGTCACAGGAGGAGCTTAACGAGCAGCCCCTTCAAAGCAGGGCAGATAAAACCCTAAACACTGTCAGTCATTGAACTAGTGAAGGGGCTCAGGATGGGCACTGTACCTCCTGCCTAAGGAAACCTCGTTTTTAAGCCAAAGAGGTGTGACACTGGATTTAAGGCCACACTGGTGCCCCAGCTGTCACGATAAGTCCCTTTTCCAAAGGAGGACAGACTCACAGAGAAGCGGTTGCAGAGAGAGCGCTCCACTGTGCAGTCCACTTTGGCGATCTTCACGCCACTCAGCCCAGGGAACTCCTTCTTGGACAGGTCCTCCCAGGTGGGGGCCAGATGCTTACAGTGACCACACCTAGGGAAATGGAGGAGGGGGTACTTACGGTGCCATCCCACTTCAGCCAGGGGACATCACCAAATCCATCGCCCACACAGTTTCTGCATCTGTAACCCCCCGGGTATCTGACCAATGTCCATCAGACATCCCTGCTGGACTGCAGACTGCCACACCCACACATTCCTGCCCCCCGGACCCACACATTCCCACTTGACTTACCATGGTGCATAGAACTTGACAAACGTCAGACCTTTGGCCACGGTCTCGTCAAAGTTGGCTTCTCCAAGGACGAGAACCTTGGACTAGAGACAGAAGCATAAGTGTGCAGTGGGCCCCAAGTCCCCCCCCCCCCCACAGGCGGAGCGGGCCCTGAGCAGTCGTAACCCTTCCTCCCAGATGCGAGTACTTTTTGTGGAAGGTGGCCACTGTCACATGGCGTCAGACATGCCGCAGACAGCCACGGGTAGCGGAAATGACCGCCTTGCCCATAATCACTACTTCTGTACCCCGTGGATGAAAACAGTTTCTAACGGGCATGCGGCTGGGCAGGATCTCAGCGGCTTCAGCAACGTCAGCCTCTCCTATGCAGCGATCTTCAGAAATGCTTTACCACAACATCGAAGAGGGCAGCTAAAAGCAGGCTGCCAAACCAGGCAGGACACAGCCTTACCCCTGGCCCACCTCCCTCCCTGAGCCGAGTGCCCACCTCCCTCCCTGAGCCGAGTGCCCACCTCCTCCTTCACCGGCTCCTCGGTGGGCTCCACAGTGGGCACTTCTGTCTTGGCCTCGCCCTCTGGAGATGCCCTCACCAGATTGTCTAGGAACTCCTTGAGTGAGTCCAAGTCCCTCTTGCCCCTGTACTGGTCTGTCTGTGGGAAGACGCCACATGCTGGCTGAGGAGCAGCGTCTCGACACCTCAGCATCATTCCCACTAGTCATGATGCAGTGCACAGCTGCTAGTTTTCATGAAGCGTCCCTCTTACTTTCTCTCCATCCTTAAAGAAGAGCAGAGTTGGGTAGCCACGCACTTGGTTCTCCGAGCAAATTTCATAATGCTGGGTGCAGTCCACCTGTGGAGCACAAGGCACACGGTCAGGACCGGTCAGGCTAATGGGACCAACAGCCGTGGCAGTAAAACCGGACCGGCTACCCACATCCCCACTCCAGCAGAGTGTCAAGGGTCGCTCACTGGACACCATGTTAAAATCCCACCAACTTGAAGTTCAGTGACAGTCTCAGTCCAACCTCTGCCTCCCATGGTTGAGACCTGGTCCTAGTCCTGCCTCCCATCTAGACCCACCTTGCCAATCTTGACGGCATCAGAGTGCTCAAACGAGGTGGCCAGCTGTTCCCAGGCCGGGGCCATGGCCTTGCAGTGACCACACCAGGGAGCAAAGAACTTGACGAAGTGGTTTCCTGGAGGAGATATGGGAAAGGTAACAATCATTACTGTGCAAGTGGGGCAGATGGTCAGCATGAAGATATATGAAAGGGAAAACATGACCAGCACCACACAAGCGGGATCAATGATCAGCCAGTGCTCCTGTGTCCCAACCAGGAGCCGGCTGGCTTTGGGGAACACAAAGCCCCTTAACTTCTCAGCTCAGGGCCACAGCGCCTGTGGTGGTTTACAGCCCCAATGTCAAACATATCATTTTGTTTCTATTTTTAAGCAGCTACTACAAGGCCTACGAAACGCAGAGATCAGCATCCGGCCCATGCCAGGCTTCAGGGCTCACATGGGATCTGGAGAACCTTCTAGAAGCAGAGCCATCACAGGGTCACAGCTCTAGCAGACGAAAACACAGCAAACTCACGACTCCAAATCGTGAAGATCTACAGGACACGCATATGAAACTGATCATGTTTATTTTCCCCAGCAAAGCCTTCAGATTTGGGACGCAGTTCGCATACGACATGATAAATACAGACTGCTCAGCATGGAAATTGGAAACATTCTGAATGAAAAGAAACTTTAGTCAAAGAACAGCGCAGTATGAGCCATAATTATGCAGTTTGAAAATGACTGTACAGCTGGCATTAAACTACATAAAAAACAGATTTAATGCAACTGTTAGCTGCAGCGGTGTAATGACCAGCTGCTGTCACTGCGATGTCCTGCACAGCTTGCTTGACTAATCGCAGCCTGAAGCAACAGGACACAAAGCTAACCACTGCCATGTTACTATGAAGAGACCAGGATCCCTCTCCCCAGATTCTCTGAGCCATTGTAACCCCAGTGCACCTCACTGCTAAGCTCGGGCAGGAAGAAGGAGGTACCCCCATCATTCATGAAGACCCATTTCATGTTGTATGCCCCCAGCATCCCCCTGCCCACATACCTTTGTCGATGTGAGCTTTGAAGTTGGCGGCCGTCAGCTCGTACATGCCCTGCTTTGGCTCGGGGATGGCAGGTGGCTCCAGCTCACTCTCTGGCTCCTGTGAGACACAGAGAGGCTGGTCGTCACTGCAAGCAGGACATCCCACTGCAGACACTTATGGGGCCCCTCGCCTGACGACCTCATCACGCAGCTGACATCCCAGGAGGAAATTTCTTAAATGCGTTGCTTTTCCACTTGACATGAGATTATTACAGCCTTAGCCTGCCTCTGGCCAGACACTTAGTACGGTACCTGGTGCGGTGGAGAAACGCCCTTTCGATACTTTTGGTACTTTATGGAAGTATGTACTTTTGTGTTGGTTTTCCACTGGCGTAAAAACTGGTACCGCGCCAAATGACATCATCAGTGACCACCCCTGACTGATGATGTCAAAGCACGGCACGGTATTTATTTTGCTGAATTCAAACATGTTATTATGATCCTTCACATTCCTGTAGTCCTGCTTAAGTTTTTTGATTTTCAAGCGGCATTGTTCGGTGTTTCGCACATGCCCTGTTTCTTCCAAGCGGCTTGCTATTACGGCAAATACTTTATTTCGAGTCGTGCCATCCAAATCCCGCTGGATCTGTTCATCCGACCATATGGCGATTAAAGCCTGTGTTTCCTCGTTTCTCCATCCTTCCATTTTACTTTTTTTATGTTTTAGTTTCTACTGCTTTTTATTTCATTTCTCGCTGTTCACTGTGTTTCAAAAGATGGCGGTTGTATTTTGTGTTTCAGTGGCGGACTATTTGCATAACCAATCGACAGCAAATACGTTTGCAAGTCCCACCCCAAAGTACCGAAGAAGTACCCCAGCTGGTTTATCACTTTCGGTACTGGTACTCGACCGGAAGTCAATGGAAAAGCGAAAGAACCGAAAGTACCATACTTTGTGCAGTGGAAAAGTGCCCTTACACATGGTCACCAGTGGCCTCAGCCTGAGGGGGCAGGAGAGCCCCCCCCCCCCCCCCGGCACACACCTGCTAGCCCG